CAGCATGTTTTCACAAGACATGTTTTCCGTGGCCCAGGTAAGTCCACGTTCTGCCTGTCCTTCTTCTCTCCCAGGTTCCTTAACAAGGCAGGAAACTAACAGGATAGCTGGTCATCAGTAGAACAGACCGACATGAGGTATGCTGCTACCTTTTTAAAAAATATTATATATATATATATCCTTCCCCCTTATCCATATAGAGATATGGATATGGATAAGGGGGAAGTATGTTATGTTGGTTTACTCCCAACCGCTACAGGCTTCGAATACTTATATACAAGTAAAGTTCCATTCTGTTCTCTCTCCTTCCAAGGCGGTACCCAACAATTCAAAATTCTTCCTCCTCGTCAACGGCGAAGTGGTTTTGCCTCTTTCTGACGTTCCAGTGTAAACACTCAGCCAGGCTTTCGAACCAATCGCTGACGGGATCTTGGAAGCAGATGGAAGGGAGAGGGTAGCAAGAGGTGGTGATACAGATGCTAGAAGGAAAGCAAGAAAGACGCCCAGTTAACACACATCCAGCTGGAAACGGACGGCCCCAACGCTTGGTCTCCCAATTATTTTGAAATTGCTTCGCGTTGAGTTGTCTGGGGTTTAAATCAGGGCGGCTTAAAAGCGGCGCTTTCCTAAGGCCAAAGAGCCAATTTTGAATGCCGGCCCTTGGTTGCTTTTTAACCCTGCATTTTGGGCATTTCTTGATTATTTAGGGGAAAAAAAAACCCCTTTCTTTAGCCAATTCTGCCTTCATCTAGAAGAACACCCTCACCTGTCCCCGTGGCAGATCTCCTGCCTCTTCCGCCCGTCAAACGAAACCCACGCGGTGTTCCTGGCGTCTGGAGACAGCATGATCTAGGATTGAGAGAGAGGAAGAAAGACCCATGATTGCCAAGTTTGGATCCGGTGATGGAAAAGTATCTCTGAAAGAAATAACAGCTTCTAGACATGATGGCGATATGATTATCGCAATAAGTTTTAAGGTCCTACCTTCAGGTCCACTCCAGCTGGGACGACAATGGGCCGGAAGGAGAGGGAATGAGGACAGATCGGGGTGATCATGATGGCGGGGACGTTCGGATGGATCATTGAGGCGCCCGCGGCAGCCGCGTATGCCGTACTGCCGGTCGGCGTGGAAACGATGACGCCTAGTGGGAAGGAACGATCACTGTTTACCCTTAAGAACAGCGGGAGGGGACAACTGGTGACCCACCAGCTCTGTGGGCTTACCATCGCCTTGCACAGTGGTAATAAGGTGGCCATCAAGAAAGACATCCACGTTGGAAAGGTAAGAGGAAGGGCCTCGGTCCACTACCACTTCATTCAAGACCTGGAGAACAGAAAAGCATGTTATGAGTGAAACGCACCAAATGTGGCCTGTTGTGGCAGTATTTTCAACTTTGGCCCTGTTAAGATGGGTGGACGTCAATTCCCAGAATCCCCCCGCTGCCCTCTTAAAGGGAGCAAGGTTGGAAAACACTGGTGTAAGGACTCCAAGGGGGTCTAGATTAGAACCGATTCAACAGGTGAACATTTGATTTGAGGAATCTCGATCTCATAAACTTGAGAAAGAAAGAAAGAAAGAAAGAAAGAAAGAAAGAAAGAAAGAAAGAAAGGAAGGAAGGAAGGAAGGAAGGAAGGAAGGAAGGAAGGAAGGAAGGAAGGAAGGAAGGAAGGAAGAAAGAAAGAAAGAAAGAAAGAAAGAAAGAAAGAAAGAAAGAAAGAAAGAAAGAAAGAAAGAAAGAGAAAAA